TGAAATAAGATGTTGATTTAACAGACGCCAAAATCTATAAATACCCTTGATTTTCTGTACTAGAATGAACCTGGGAATAAAGCGTTTTCTCTCCTACTTGTGTCTTCTCTCTGGAGTTCAAGTTGCAGTGTAGTTCTAGTCTGCGGGTTACGGGAATAGCTTAGGATTCGTATAGAGCGTTCAACTTACACGACTTATCAATTACACAACTATTGTGATCAAGATAAAGACTTTAGAAAACTAATTAATACTTCAAATTTGCTATCACATAACAATGAACGAATGTTGATTATAACAGTTTATTTACAAAAATATCTTGAGAATCCATCGTCTAACTTCAATATGACCAAATCGTTGGTGATGTAAATGAAATATACATACAACAAAAGCGCATGTATACTGCTGACAAATCACGTTAATAACAACGTGGACATAAAATGTCGAAAATGAGTATTTCTAATGTTTACATTTCACAAATTCATCTCAGCTGACAGACGAAGAGATGAGAAACGGAGAAGAGAGGTGTGCTAGGTTAAAATATATTTAATCACAAACGTTATTACAGCTCAAAATACACGAACCGTAGTGCAATCAGGAGACAAATGTTAGATGAAATAATAAATGTATAATTATAGGCACACAATCTCAAATTATACAGTTAGGGCTAAATTATGAACGTCAAAATAGAGGATTGCAAAGTGACCAAATAATGATCAGTGTCATCAGTATGTCACCTCCTTAATCAATTCTCCAAAACAAATTTTAATTTGGAAAATGCAGAAAATGTTATACAAAATTTGTTATGGTTAATATCAGTAAATAGATAAAGACCAAGAATAGGTATACAAAATGGGCAAGTGTCGTGTTTAAATGAACTAATGATTCTATTGTACTTGTCGATTGCTCGATTTCGAATTCCAAATACAATACATTCATTTGTGCTTGTGTCGTAATTCTTGATTCAATTGCGTTAATTCTGGGATCCCTAGTTCATACGATAATTCAAATACTATCAAATATTATACTGGCATCGCGATGGAGCCTGCGATGGAAAAGTTAGATATTCATTCAACTTACGAAGCTTTTGAGGATTACTTTGAAAGGTTCGAAATCTGGGCTATGACCAAGGAAGATGATGAGGATGGTAATTGTTAAGTCTGTTTTACATTGTTCCTGTTCATTCCCTTTCTACTCTTCTGTATATTGTTTTATACTACTCATTTACATTCAGTAAGCAGTCGTATTCCTAACAATTTTCAAACTTATATTGTAACGCGAGTTGTTTTGTAATATTCTAAATTGTTCACATATACTTATAACGTTTATTGTACTTATCATTGTAATTACTGTATCTTAATCACTGTAGCCGTTATCCACAGTTTTGTGCATTTGTTTAAACGCAACAGTTTCCATATTGTTTGCTCTTGGTTCGGGTTTCGATTGCTCATAAACTGTTATCCAATTTAGACACAGCTATCGGCTGTCTTTGTACTATCGTATGTTATAATTGTTCTTTATGTTACTCTTACAGGAAGCCTTTGTTATTTTCATTCTTGAAAGACGCGTTTAAACGCCTAGACACCTCACAAGTTGAGGTTTGTAACTAAATTCTGTGTATTATTTAATAAAGAACCGCTTTTGTAGACAAATCGTTGTTTTGGAACTTCGATTTTGCGCGTATCTCAATCGGGGTTACTTGGACGCTTCGATAGAATTAACAGTAATATTGTGGCACATTTCCTCACATTCATCGGAAAAGAAGCATACAGCTTATTAAGAACTCTGGCTATGCCGGAAAAGCCTATTTCGCTTCCTTATACAACTCTCAAGGAACTGCTGCTAGACTATGTTAATTATACAAATTTCGATTGCGGTAAAGGAGGGAAATCTCGTAAAATGATTCATGAGGATATAAAAATTTTCACTGCATTACTACGTCATCCCAACCCAGTGCATACTCAAGGCTGTGCAGATAATTCATTGAGGAGTTGCAATGCATTTCATGAAGATGGGCACAAGTTTGACCAATGTTTGTCCTGTGGCAAGTTCCACTCCTTTAAATCATGTAAATTTCGTAATTCTAAGTGCTTTATATGTGGTGATATTCAACATATACAGTCAGTCTGTAATGCTAATGTAAATCTTATTGCAACTAATATTAAGCCTTGTAATTCTGATTCTAATAAGTCGAGTATTTATAATGATGGTTAATCTTCATCAATAGACAGTGTAGTCACATAGCGGTTCAGAGTTAAATGAAACTCAAAAATCTTTCGAAACAACAGTTCTTAACCAATCGATTTATCAGATTTCTCATGTTATTGTACCACAAACGAATGTACTGTATTTAGAATTCGAAATCAAGCATTCAACAAGTATTGGATAAAAACTCTGTATTGTCTAGAATACACTCATTAGTATTAGAATTAACAGACGAAATCGGAACAGACTCACCTGGAATTACATGCAATCAGCATGTCAGTTTTTGTACTGAAATCATTAATATCTACAATTCGAACCATAGATTTTTCAACACTATCCTCCCCCACGAAACAATGTTGGATCTTTATATGCCCAAGTTATGAATGATGTGGCTTCATTTAAAACATATTTCTCACATTGTTTAAAGTAAACACTAGAAGTGTTTTTGTGATAAATAGCAGGGTAAATAGCAGTTAATATGAAATCATCCGAATTGTAATCAAAATCGAACTCATTTAGTACTCGTGCTTCGCATTGAACAAGTTTTCCACAAGGATCAAATGCATTATGAGGATAGGTAATATATGATATGATATCAGGATTTGATTCTTCTGAAATATTTTCATGAAATTTATTAAGAATGTCATTGCAGAGCAAAGAATCGTTAGAAAAATCAGCATCCTTAAAACTAAATTAGGTTTTCGATCATAATTATGTCCACTCAACATATTTTCTTTAGATTTGTAAGAAATTTCATCAGAAATATGTGAATCATTAAGAAAAGCCATATTTGGTACAATAACATGAGAAATCTGATAAATCGATTGGTTAAGAACTGTTGTTTCGAAAGATTTTTGAGTTTCATTTAACTCTGAACCGCTATGTGACTACACTGTCTATTGATGAAGATTAACCATCATTATAAATACTCGACTTATTAGAATCAGAATTACAAGGCTTAATATTAGTTGCAATAAGATTTACATTAGCATTACAGACTGACTGTATATGTTGAATATCACCACATATAAAGCACTTAGAATTACGAAATTTACATGATTTAAAGGAGTGGAACTTGCCACAGGACAAACATTGGTCAAACTTGTGCCCATCTTCATGAAATGCATTGCAACTCCTCAATGAATTATCTGCACAGCCTTGAGTATGCACTGGGTTGGGATGACGTAGTAATGCAGTGAAAATTTTTATATCCTCATGAATCATTTTACGAGATTTCCCTCCTTTACCGCAATCGAAATTTGTATAATTAACATAGTCTAGCAGCAGTTCCTTGAGAGTTGTATAAGGAAGCGAAATAGGCTTTTCCGGCATAGCCAGAGTTCTTAATAAGCTGTATGCTTCTTTTCCGATGAATGTGAGGAAATGTGCCACAATATTACTGTTAATTCTATCGAAGCGTCCAAGTAACCCCGATTGAGATACGCGCAAAATCGAAGTTCCAAAACAACGATTTGTCTACAAAAGCGGTTCTTTATTAAATAATACACAGAATTTAGTTACAAACCTCAACTTGTGAGGTGTCTAGGCGTTTAAACGCGTCTTTCAAGAATGAAAATAACAAAGGCTTCCTGTAAGAGTAACATAAAGAACAATTATAACATACGATAGTACAAAGACAGCCGATAGCTGTGTCTAAATTGGATAACAGTTTATGAGCAATCGAAACCCGAACCAAGAGCAAACAATATGGAAACTGTTGCGTTTAAACAAATGCACAAAACTGTGGATAACGGCTACAGTGATTAAGATACAGTAATTACAATGATAAGTACAATAAACGTTATAAGTATATGTGAACAATTTAGAATATTACAAAACAACTCGCGTTACAATATAAGTTTGAAAATTGTTAGGAATACGACTGCTTACTGAATGTAAATGAGTAGTATAAAACAATATACAGAAGAGTAGAAAGGGAATGAACAGGAACAATGTAAAACAGACTTAACAATTACCATCCTCATCATCTTCCTTGGTCATAGCCCAGATTTCGAACCTTTCAAAGTAATCCTCAAAAGCTTCGTAAGTTGAATGAATATCTAACTTTTCCATCGCAGGCTCCATCGCGATGCCAGTATAATATTTGATAGTATTTGAATTATCGTATGAACTAGGGATCCCAGAATTAACGCAATTGAATCAAGAATTACGACACAAGCACAAATGAATGTATTGTATTTGGAATTCGAAATCGAGCAATCGACAAGTACAATAGAATCATTAGTTCATTTAAACACGACACTTGCCCATTTTGTATACCTATTCTTGGTCTTTATCTATTTACTGATATTAACCATAACAAATTTTGTATAACATTTTCTGCATTTTCCAAATTAAAATTTGTTTTGGAGAATTGATTAAGGAGGTGACATACTGATGACACTGATCATTATTTGGTCACTTTGCAATCCTCTATTTTGACGTTCATAATTTAGCCCTAACTGTATAATTTGAGATTGTGTGCCTATAATTATACATTTATTATTTCATCTAACATTTGTCTCCTGATTGCACTACGGTTCGTGTATTTTGAGCTGTAATAACGTTTGTGATTAAATATATTTTAACCTAGCACACCTCTCTTCTCCGTTTCTCATCTCTTCGTCTGTCAGCTGAGATGAATTCTTATATATATATATATATAATCTTTCATAGTTACTTTTCTAGTCATACGGGTATGAATTTTAACACAAAGATGATCTATATCATTATTTTTACATATTTTCCCGCTTTCTATCTAGGAACTTATTTCAATTATCAATCCAAGTACCGTAGATATGCATTTCAATAATAAAATGATACATTGGATGTATCCTCGGTGACAAGCATTCCAACTGATTCATCATCTATTAGTAGACCAGATGATTCACTAGAGTCTACTAGCCGACGAAGGCATGATGCTTCCGGGAGATTCGATGCTATTATTATTACCACTACTGTTACTACCACTGCTGCTAGTAGTAATCAAAGCTCGAATGATGAACACTATCCTAGGACTACACGTTGTTTATCATGTCGAGAATACGATAGTCAAACTTGTAATGGAGAGTTATGTACTTATGATTCTGATTTGAATTATCTTAAAGAAGTACATCTTTGGTTGAAAAATCCTAATCGATCAGTTACTATTGGCGATCAATTTAATTCTTCGAATACAATATCGACAAAATCTTCAATAAGTTTATCGACTTTATCCGATAATATTCACACATCTTTCTCATCTATGTTATCAAATTCTCAGTCTACATCTAAACTACAGGTATCCGATGTAGTGGATCCATTGTTGTTGACCAAGAACGATAATCATAATGGTAATAATAATTCCAGTTGTGTGGAACAAACACTTCCAGCCAGTGTTTATGATAATCGTCTGGACTTGTCTGCTGACTGCCAATCTATTAGCGAACTATGCATAAGTAAGTGTATGTGCGCTTCAATACTCTACTTATTTATATTTCCATATGCATTCCTGTTATATGGTTACATTATATTCTTGCAAAATGTAATTAATTTGAACTGGTTAACGGCTTTTCGAGAGGTTCGCATTATTCTTATAAATTGTCCCGGCAAATCACCTTCGATATGATAATATAGCAGTCAAATCAAATTGAATGACGTGTAACGCCATAACTTTTATTTTCATATTTTTCTCCGAACCTTGTCAGTATTAAAAGACAATATTTTGCCCATAATTAGAAAAAATTGCTTATTCAACAGTATAAACACGTTCATGTGCACATTTCTTAATGAATATGGAAAAATAGTTGAATCACTTGCACTGATTTACAACTAAATGAGCAGAGATGGATGTTGGCTAGCAGTAGAACCCAGGACGCGCGTTTCGTCCTGTTTGGACTCGTCAGCTGGATGTACCTACACTCCAGGGTTGGTGTTCATTCCGGGACTCGAACCCAGTACTTTTCGCTTCAAACGCCATCACGTTATCCACTTAGATACTGAGTCCAGATAGTCAACAGTTTATACAATAGAATGAAGTAATTCATTTTTGTATTGATTGTTTGAATCTTACCGGAGTGAAGATTAACTCTGGGATGCAGGTGCATCCAGCTGACGAGTTAACAATAAGCCGAAACGCGCGTCCTGGATTCCACTGCTAGCTACCATCCATCTCTGCAATGCTTGTGACTTGAAGTAATATCAAGGCAATCCGCACAGGATGCACATATACTAATAAGAGACTGATCAATCGCAGTCCAACAACTAATACAAAAATGAACTATCTAACTATATTATTAGGACAAATAAATAGATGGATATTCACCCCTACATGTTATTTGTTAATTGATGACAATCGATTGAAACTCGTCTGCACAATTTGTATCCTAAATTTTGAAGTTAATTCACCCCCTCTTATGTAGAATTTGAACTCCTTACTGCATAACAATCAGAAAAGTTACGATTTAGAGTTATGCGAACTTTAATACTAGGTCAAAGCCTAGTAATGGTCGCATTACAGTTTGACTGATAGAATGCGATTAGTACTTAGGAACAGATAATATAATATTGGTTCCTAATATTAATTGATCACTTAGTCTGTAGATATCTGCTTGTATCTGGGAGCGGACCCAAAGTATTTACACCTAACGACATCTTCCTACCATTTTTGTCAGTATTTATTATTTATTTATTTTAACCCATAGATATTCGTTTATCTTCATCAACGATTGCAATAGACAGTGTAGTCACATAGCGGTTCAGAGTTAAATGAAACTCAAAAATCTTTCGAAAAAACAGTTCTTAACCAATCGACTTATCAGATTTCTCATGTTATTGTACCAAATATGGCTTTTCTTAATGATTCACATATTTCTGATGAAATTTCTTACAAATCTAAAGAAAATATGTTGAGTGGACATAATTATGATCGAAAACCTAATTTAGTTTTAAGGATGCTGATTTTTCTAACGATTCTTTGCTCTGCAATGACATTCTTAATAAATTTCATGAAAATATTTCAGAAGAATCAAATCCTGATATCATATCATATGTTACCTATCCTCATAATGCATTTGATCCTTGTGGAAAACTTGTTCAATGCGAAGCACGAGTACTAAGTGAGTTCGATTTTGATTACAATTCGGATGATTTCATATTAACTGCTATTTACCCTGCTATTTATCACAAAAACACTTCTAATGTTTACTTTAAACAATGTGAGAAATATGTTTTAAATGAAGCCACATCATTCATAACTTGTGCATATAAAGATCCAACATTGTTTCGTGGGGGAGGATAGTGTTGAAAAATCTATGGTTCGAATTGTAGATATTAATGATTTCAGTACAAAAACTGACATGCTGATTGTATGTAATTTCAGGTGAGTCTGTTCCGATTTCGGCTGTTAATTCTAATACTGATGAGTGTATTCTAGACAATACAGAGTTTTTATCCAATACAATGTCGGACAGACTCAGGATGAACTTAATAAGAAGACGTACAACATATTACAGACAATCATATTCTAGTTTAAGCTGTGGCGAATGTGGTGTTTGAATTAACTAATGATTCTTTTGTACTTGTTGAATGCTTGATTTCGAATTCTAAATACAGTACATTCGTTTGTGTTTGTGTCGTAGTTTTTGATTCCATTGCCTTAATTCTGGGATTCCTAGTGTATACGATAATTGTAATGCTTTGAAAAATTATAGCAAGTCAACCAAGCAGATGAATGGAATGAGTAACATAAATTGTTTGTACATTGATCAGATTTTCTAAAAGCGTTAGCAACAATTTTTCTTGTCATCACTGAGTACAAATGTGTCAAGTGCTCGACGCTTTCATTTATATGTATATTCTACATAACACGTTAATCAAATAGTTTTATCTTAGTTTGGTTTGTTTGATAATAAACTCAGAAAACAATCATTTTATCAGTAATTAACGGTGTAACAAGTGAGCTGGTAAAGTAAGCATGCTTAAATAGACAATGAATTTTACAAATAATTACTTCTTATCAATTTGGTGACGAAGATGATTTGACCTCCTAACACTTCAGTGAATTTGTTAACCCCAAGGTTTTGTTGTGTATGTTGAATTTTTTGTCAAACTGTTTATGGAAGTGAGAAAGTTTAAGAAGAGATCACCAGCAAGTATCAATTTACATTCTGATCAATAAACTTATGTAGCGATATTTTTAAGAAATCATAATCGGAAAACCAATAAAATTCCAAAACCACTTAACCCTCAGGTTTCATTACTTCTGTTGTTAAATAATTTTGATTTATACATTTTCTCTGAGGATCGTCTGAAATTATGTTCAAATTCATAGTCACATTAAGAATCACTCATTCTATACTTCAACTGGAGGCCAAATAAGTGGACAGGTTGAGAAATAATTAGTTATCATGACAAATTATTATTTACAGATAAATGTTGGGAAATTCCCAATAAAATAATATAGAAGCAGGAATATAATACGGAGAATAGTAATGATTAGTTTTGTTATAATGGTGAGAATAAACAGCTTTTCTTGTTGGTTATTTTTAGGTCCCGTTTGGTCGGACCGTAAAATAGGAAAGTTGTATTGATCTAGCTCGAGTATCGATTATTTCGCCTAGACTGTCTACCTAGTAGTAATCACATTCGGCTAACCAATGACACGATTACAGTGAGAAAAGAAATAGATTGCACGAAAGTTTTCAAACACACAACCGTATATTAAATAGTACTAAGTTTACCCGTGGAATGAGAATTTTCTTCAAACCAAAAACTATCATTGCATGACGATGTAGCTGAGAAGAAGTGGAATAATAACTTACGAATTAGTGGATTTCGGAAACCAGAACCCTAAAAAATTTGTAACGTTCAGCTTTAGTTAGGTTTGAGTCTAGACTAGAAGTACATATCGTGTATTAAAGGAGTGTATAGAGCGTATTTCGGTAGGAAACTGGAAAAATGGAAAAGTTACCGGTGAACTCACTGAGAACATTAGGTACAATCACACTTAATAGTGAGAGTGTGCTACAACAATTAGTGTTTTGACGCGTGGTATTCGAAAATGATATTGATACACAAACTTCCTATGCAAAAACCTCCAACAGACTACTGAATGAGAAGACTAGAAGTGATGTAGAAAGTTTATTTTTCTACTACTTAGCAAATTAAACGATTTATTGGCCAAAAACAAACTTGCGGAGTAGATTTTCTATTATCATGGTGTGGCCTCGTTTGACGACATCCGAATGACCTACTATATCGATTAGTAATGACAAGCATGAGGGTCAGACAATCTGACAACCAAAGCTAGTAGGTAGAGTGAGATTTCAGAAGTGACAGCCGTTAAATATCTGGTAGAACAAGTTGATCATCTTGTTACGGAGATACAAGACAAATTGATTGAATTCGGTGTGACCACACTAATAGTCGAACTGAATAATTACTCTAAAGAATTTCGAGAAATATTCGTTACTAAAATAGAACAAACAGGTCAATATAAGAGTTATTCAGTACTATAAAGGAACATTAGAAGTTAGAAAGATTTTGCGTAAGCGATGTATACTTTCGAAAGTAAGTTGCTTTCTCTTAGCCTTCACAATGGTGAAACGGCAAAACACTGAAAAAGGAGATACAAAACAGTATCTTTTTTATCAGAAGTATTGATTACAAAGTTTTATTTGTAAATCTGACATCAAAAAATAGTGAAGAAAAATAAGTAATATTTCTGACATATTCCTAAACCTTCCGAGGATCTTCAGGATTCTAAAAAAAATCCGTATCAGTGTAATGAACGAGAAAACAGGTGGGAACAAATAATGCATTAAAGTACAAAATTACAGAATCTCTTGGCAAAATGTGGGAAAAATAAAGTGAATACTTCATCTGTAAAATTCCATCATTTGTCCTTCACATGCTGTATGGTTCTTAAACCCACAATTCCTTTCTATTTCCATTTCTGTTTTCTTTTAAGATTGATCTTGATAGCCTTCTGCTATCTGAGTTTTCACTTCCGATTAGTGTTATCCACTACGTATATCTGTCGATATAAGTAGCATACACCATAGTAGACAGAAAACACGAAGTTGAAATATGTGGGCCAAAAACCCTTTATAGAACTATTCAGGAAAACTGATATTGTTGGGTTAATCCAAACTATCTGAGGATACCGGCTTCAATACATTTAGCTGCGTATGACAGCTACTGACTTAAATGAAAGAAAAAACGTTATTTTTTTATTTCCTCATTCATTTGAACATCAAGCATTTGTGAAGATATGCATGACAAGCTTATTTTGTAAGTAGTTTTTGATGTTGTTTTTATTTCTGTCAATTTTTCACTGCATGTACATTTACCATTATATGATTGTACGTGTTGTTTAAGTGTATGACCTTCAACACACTTTCCTTCCGTTGTGTTACTCTCATAGCACGGCACACGATGTTGCCTACTAACAAATACACTGTTACACACTTACCTCTTGTTCTCTATTCGCTCGTAGTTGTGTTAACTGAACTCTAAATCAAATACCGTCTACATTTATAGACTATAAACGAAATATATCATATTCTACGTTGGGTTATACCACTGGGAGGACATCAATCTTACTGGAACCTTCAATCATCTATAATTATTTTGGATTTTGGTACCAAACTCAATCGGAACACGCAAAAACCTGCTGAATTAAGTAACGTCTCTAATTTTTGTTGTGTTTATAACATTTAACTGATATGTATTAACATTACTATTTCTACTTAATAACTCTGTTAACATTTTTGAGTTCATATATTGTTTGGTCCACCACACATTGTGGCCACCAGTAACAACTTACATTCAATTATTTCATTAATTATTATGTTTGAATATTTTTACGAAGAAAATTTGATCAATACAAGAGCACGTGAACGTGTTACAATGATAAATGGTTTAACGATATTTATGCTCAAACAAATTCAGTTGATTGCCATCTATCAGAATCAATAATATATTCAGGACCATAGCCCAAGATCATATATGAACATTGAGTGCCGATTGGTATAACATGCACGTACATATTTGTCCTCACACATAAAATGAAATCATTTTACACTGAATGAGTCACATTCACAGTAAAATTTAAGTTCAGCGTATGATATAGATTGAACATTTGTTTAATATAGAAGTGTATTTGTCACCTTATTTACCTCTGATGATTTCCATGCCAATTATTTCGCTAGATTTTCTGGAACCAGACTATCAAGATATGCATTAATATTTATATCAAAATTGTTGAATTTCAGAAATCGTCGAAAATTTTACAAGAATATTATCATTTCTAAAATATTACAGTCTATTTCGAGGAGTAAATTAGTACTACAGCTTCAGTATGAAAGCGGGTATAACTGAAATGTGCAGACAGGATGATCAGTAAAGAACAACTTGTTAATGTTGAAAATCTCATGTGAGTAAGAAGAGGAATGAGACTTCCAAAAGAACTTGTATGTCCCAGGCTAAAGACAATGAAATAAGTAAATATCAGAGCGTGGATAGTATTAGAAAGGAAATAGTGAATAGTAGGCATAAGTGTGACACTGCTCACATCATGAAATTCATAATAATATTAATAATCGTTGTTATGGTTACACAAGCAGAACATAATAACGTATATTTAGATCAATCCAAATAACACACAAACTGACAAGCCGACGTTTTTTTAGGTTAAACAGAATTTGAGATCTAAATGAATTTTATGTGAATCACTAACCATGACACGATTGC